GGCTTTAGGGTTTAGGGCTTTAGGACTTTAGGTTGCTCCCAGAGAGCCCAATACCCCTTAATTAAGGAATATGCTTTAAATCCTATTATAAAGGCCCCCTATAGTTTAAGGTATATTCCTTAATTAAGGGGTATTGGGTTCTCTGGGTTTAGGGATGCACGTAAAGAAAACTTAGTCTACTCCAATATTGCGCAAACTCTCAACCCTGCTTCAATCGTAGTCGTCGTAGCCACGGGTTCTATAAGGTCTTTGCACGGTTTTGCGGCCAGTTCCTCTACGAAGCTCGGCCTTACCCCTGGCTTGGGAAGCAGGCGGAAACAGAAATCCCACTGTTCCAATCGACCTTGTCACCGACTCTAGTGCACGAAGGAGGTCGAGGGTATTCTTCTACATGCTGTATGCGGTGTATAGGCTTACCACATCCTTTCGTTTCCGAAGCCTTGCCCATATAGGGTCGATGGTACATTGAGTTTCGATCAAACAAAGAACCCAACAGGTAGTTTCAAAAGAAAGAACCCTGCCAGGTACCTCATTTTGAGAAACCCGCCATGTACGGCTGGCATTTTCGACAGCAGCCCTAACTCCTTTTGCTGCATGAACCCAAACCCCTTAACATAACAGCCGGGCATCTGTGGGCCGATGTTGCAACCAGTCTGCAGGGAAACACGTTTGGGGGCCAGGGCTGCGGACGTATGGTTGCAGTTGCTCTTGATATTAGCTGGAGCTCTTTCACACCAGCAAGTTTATGTTTCGTTTATGATGGTGCCACATGCACTGCACTATTACTGCGAATGCGGTTGTTGATTCTGTGCAGTGATTGTCGCTGCACCGCCAGCTTCGTGGCACAGGCATCACGACTACTGAAAGAATGCGGCATTCATACTTCTGGGATTGTTGCCATCATAGAGCAATGGCGCCATGACGACGTTTGCAGAACTTCAACTAAGACTTAGCATGGTGGTTAGGAGAAAGCTTAAGCCGAGAGCAAGCCTTGAAAACGTCCCTTAGCTCCAAACGCTGAACTTGACATACCCGGCCTGGTGGTAGACGGTAATCACATCTCCCATTGCAGCACGGTTCCTCGGATCTTCGAATCTGCCCTTCGGCAACGACACATGCCACTCCCGCAGTCATAGAAGCTGCAACCAGCGAACCCGTAGACCCACAATTCAAAAACTGTTCTTAAAAAGCTTAGACTATGGTGCTATAGCAAATGCTCAAGAAATATTCGCTATTCTTAATGAGCCCTGGATCTTATACTATAGCCAAATCAGGCCTCAATAGGAACACTCAGGCAAAGAAGAAGGCCCAAACCCGAGATGAAGACTGTACCCGACATTGGCACAGCTCAGCTTTATGAAGAGGTATATGGTACTCTTCCTGATCAGCTCAAGTTAAGGTTATAGCCACTCACCTGGAGTGGGCACCCACGGTGACCACAGTGATGCACCGGGGGTTAGGGTTCAGGAAAAAGTAATGGATATTTTAAGCCAGGATTGCTCGGTCAGACGCTATGTGTATCCTAGAAAGACCCTAACCTTTCAGGTACCTACTATATAGGGCCCTAGGGGCTCCAGTACCCTATATAGTAGGTACCTGGGGGGTTAGGGAGAGGTAACAAGGAAGGTAATGGAAGGTAGAACAGGGGAAAACGAAGCACCGAATAGGAGCAAGGCACAACAAAGATTAGCCCGAATACCCGGCCGCTGCTTTTGTGTTAAATACCTTTTTCGGGTGCCTTCTTGATTCAGCTTCTCCTTTTTGACCGTCTGCTGCCCTTCCGACAATTGCTCAGCAAGCCACGCTAAACCCCTTAAGCCTTAGACCCTAAAACCCTTAAACTTTGAACCTTAAACCCTAACTCCCATAAGCCTTAAACCCTAAACCCTTGTTTTGCATCCAGGCCTATTGCGACTGCCGGGTACCCTGAAGAAAAAACCCTTAAACCCCTTAACCCCACGACAACCAAGTCATCGAATGCCTCTCGAGCTCTCCGTTGCCTGTTAGTGGCTGTTAGTCTGGCGAAAACGCAATGCTAATGCCTCAAAGTCTTTGGATTGCCTGGCGTAAACCCTACTTGGAGGATCATGGGAAAGAGGAACTGAGTAAGGTTGTAAGTGCCTTCATTGAGTAAAAAGTAGTTAGAAGTATAGTTACCCTATTTACTTACCAAGTCACATGATCCTCCAAGTAAACCCTTCTTCAGTACGTGCTCATCCCTCTGCCGAAGCTTCACCTTAGCAGCAACCGCCTTCGTAGTCGTAAGCAAACTACGCGAACCTTCACATAAAAAATGTGTATGTCTACATGCATTTGTGGATGCATGCATGTGTCGTTCTGCCTGTATGCTTGCAGGTATGCTTGTATGCATGTTTGCATGCATGCAAATATAAGTAGGTAAGATGAAGTGAGGCAGGGCACAGCAGGGCAAGGAAGCTAGGTAAGGTATGCGGGCATGCACGAAGACACAGCTTCAGTTAGAATGTTTTCACTGACACAGGTAACAGAAGCTTGATGACCAACGAACACTGTACTGTGTGACGTTTCCGGTCGGTGAAGCCCAGATATAACTGTGCCAAACTTCCGTGCTTGCAGAACGGAACTGTAGGCAAACCTGAATTGAACTATTAAACCCTAAACCCTAAACCCCTAAACCCCTAAACCCTAAATCTTGAACTCTTAGTGCTGCCAGAAGTCGCACAGCTGTCAGATCCGGAGGCTGAAGAAGACGAGGAAGGGGGTGGAGAAGGGCTGTGATGCGAGTGACCTGTCGCGACGCAGGTGTGCCAGTGGATAACCTTGGAGCACAGGGGTTCCATTCAAAAACCGCATATAGTAATACATACACATACACATACGCATACATATGCATGTACATATACATATACACATGCATGCATGCATGCATGCATGCATGCATGCATGCATGCATGCATGCATACATGCCTTCATCCGTACATCCATGCATACATACACACAGACAGACATATGCTGCGCGTAAACAAAGCCATGCTCGAATATGGTATGTGCAGACGACCTGAGCACAGAGAGCGATGATGAGAACACCCGCAAGTGCGGCCACAAAGACCCTGATGCAAAACCCGAGACTGAATGACCACCTCGTTGGCAAATTACCACAACCCAGAGACTCCAATATTCCTTAATAAAGGAATACTCCTAAGGTATATTAAGGGATATTGGAGTCTCTGGGAACACGGAATCTTCGGCCAGGTGGCAGGCCACCACCTCACTGAACGACAGGCCGGTGGATCATAGCGTGCATGCCAGCGGCAACAAGAATTCCCGGGTCCACAGTAGTTGGAACACGAACCGGCTCCATGGCATCGGTACCAGCAATTCGCACCTGCATGCCAAAGGCCCGTGGATCCCAAGTCATCCTCCTCTGGTCCAGCGCCCAAGGAGTCCGAAGAATCTGAAGGCACCGGCATCTCTGGGCAGAGTGGATCACACTCAATCCACTTGGGTGAGCCGGGCGGCACGGCTTCCTTTTCTTTGAATGCTTGAAGAACTTCCTCTTCCGAACCATAAGCATGTTCTTCTTCCGATGCATTTGGTTGGCGCCGATGCTGCAAGGCATTCAAGGCGCAAGAGCCCTCTGCACACTCATCGTTGAACTCTAGGACGTCTTCTGGGAGGCTCTCGCCGCTGCAAAGCGACAAGGCCGAAGCAACCGCCCAAAGGCGCAGCATGAGGCGAGGAGGGGCCAGGAGGAACGCTGAAAGCAAAAGAAAGAGTGACTTCTTAGTGGCCGATACTCGCCACTTTTCGGGCAGAACACGGCTCCAATCACAAACACTAGCAGCACCGACATGCAGCGGCTCTCCCTGAACAGCCCTGACGTATCGCGCGAGATCTCACAACAGCGGACAAGGCATCGTGAAGCTGCTCGGTACCTATCTGCTTGCTGAGACGGCGGCAGTACATGCCCAGTTGCACGTCAAAGCTGTGGAAGTCGCGTGGCAACGGCTGCCCTGCGGTCCTTGGTGAGACTTTTGCATCCGAATTCTGCTGACACCACGGGGGAAGCATGGAGCTGTCACCCCATCCCTAACCCCCCAAGTACCTACTATATAGGGCCCTGGGGGATCTAGTACCCTATATAGTAGGTACCTGGGGGTTTAGGGCTTTGCAAAGGGCGAGACGTCAGCGGTCTGCAGGTTTTCGAGGCAGAGGGCCACTGCTCACGACCGTGGGGATGCAGTCGAAGACCCAGGACCCGTTTAGGGTTTAGGGTTTAGGGTTTAGGGTTTAGGGTTTCCAGGACCCTAGCCATCGTTGTAACCCTAAATCAAGCAAGCCACAAGGCAAACGTTTCTAGAAGTTCAAGCCACCAACGATCTGGAGGAAATCGAGTGAAGAGGCTTCGGATTAAACCCAAGTCACAGCAGCTTCAGAAGGTACGCAAGATCATATGAACCTGCAGCAAGTGCAGCTGTGACTGTAACTGCGAGGATGGCGTATGAGGCTGATGGCTTCAACGGCTCAGGACTTCGGGGTGCAGGATGTTGGCTACATACATACATAAACGTGCATGTATTTCTTGTTTGCATGCGTGCATACATCCATTCGTCCACCCATCCATGCATCTACATGTGCAACAGCAGCAGATTACGATGCAAGACCATGCTGTGCCATGCCATACCATGCCATACGTAGACGTACGTGTAAGTCCATACAGGTAGAGATGCATGTGTGGGTGTGGGTGCATCTGTACATCTGCATGTACGTGCGTGGGTGCGTGTGTGCACATGCGGGTATACATGCATGTATGCATGTCCGTGCTGCCAGTCCACAATCTAAGAATCAAGATCCTGCCGGGCAAAAGACGAATTCCAGCATGGATCTCAAGATGTCATCTCGGATCCGACGGCACAGATGCCCACATGGTTGACGACATAGAGAGAAACTCTGATTGTGTCATGACATCAACTGGTTCAAACAATCTGTTATATTACCATTTGAGACATTCATTCCTGCCGGATTCTGCCGGTCCACGTGAAAAATCGACACAAAGAAAGGGAGTGACAGAGAGAGAGAGAGAGGAAGACAGAAGAGCACATGTGTGTTTTCCAAGTTTATACTGATCTTCACATACAGGCATACAGATTATCCTGTCTACTCTCGTCCTTCTCCTCCTTCTTCTTCTTCTTCACTGTCTTCTTTCTCTGTGTTTCTCTGCACTCGGAACCAACCATCCATGAACTTTCCGATCGGTGCGTGCCCATACCGGCCTGCGAATGTGACCCAAGAGGGTGCCCGTGGTCCGACCAAGGATGAGTTGGCGAGTTTCTGGCCCAGGACGACTGAGCGGCAGGGACCCGATAAAGCCTAAACCATCTGAGGGCTGCGGGGATGCTACCTCTAAGACCTATTGTACTAGATCATATCATATTCATTATATGATACCATATGTGTATGTGTATAATATATATATATATATATATGTATGTATATATATATATATATAGTTAGTATTGCTTTGTAGTCTGTGTGTATGTCTATATATATATATGTTATATATTATTGATTATACCTGGAACTTCGGGGGTTCGATAGTCTTTCCGTGCAGCCCTTTGGCTCACCTCTTTTCACCAAGCGCGCTTGGGGCCGTGGGCCGCTTAATGCAATACGATCCCTGTGCCTGCGATGTCGCTAAACAGATCCTGTAGGGTTTAGGGTTTAGGGTTCTGAGGTTTAGGGTTTAGGGTTTAGGGTTCTGAGGTTTAGGGTTTAGGGTTTAGGGTTCTGAGGTGATGGCGTCAGCTGAGGGACATTTTGAAAAACAACTCTACACAGGTTTCCATTCCTGGACGCTGGTCAGAAGGACGACGTCGGGCGGATATGATGTGCGACAAGCTTCTGTTGAGGCCCCGGGGCTACCACCAAAAAATCCACAACAGAGGTCCTGAAGCCCTGCGCCCTACACTCCCTCTACCCCGAACCTTAACCCTAAACCCTTTTGCAACTTGCCTGCTGCGACTCCGCCAGGACGAACACTTGACCATAGTCACTTCCCTCAACCCCCAGAACCCGAACCCTCCAAGTACCTACTATATAGGGCCCTAGGGGCTCTAAACCCTAAACCCTAAACCCTATGTAGTAGGTACCTGGGGGGTTAGGGGAAGCTCGCGCCTGGATCGATCCCCTCCTTCTTGTGGCGGGGAAAGTCCAGACCTGCCTGAAGAGCTTCAGCGAGAGCTTCGAAGTTTCGGAGTTTTGGGGCTCGAGGCTCCGGGATGACGAAGCTTGGGGTTTACATAGGGCTTTCGCGCTTTGGCAAACTCTAAGCTGGACAGAAACAAACCCAACAAAAACTCCATGCCCTCAACTCCAAGCTTCGGGCTACCCTGAGGCAGCTCAGCGTCCTAGGACTTCTGATTTAGTCGTTGAAGCTTTCGGACTTTGGGAGGGGCGGGATATGCCGTAAATCCTAAATCCACACGCAAGGAAGTGGCGCATCCTGGATTCTTGAGGTTCTTGGCTTTCAGGTGTAGGCTAGACTCTTCAAGCGGAGACTGTAGAGATGGGTGTACAAGTTAGGAATCGATAACCTGCTGCACCTTTTTGCAAGTGGAACTACTTTCTATCGTGTAAAGCCCCATGACTCTTTGATACAACACAAAAACCCTCACTGGGTAAGGGATATTTCCTGAATCCTAATCCCTTTTGCTGCAGGCTTGCAAGCAAGAACGCCTGGTAGTTAGCCACTCGTCCGCCGACTAACACTGTAATCCTAATCCCTAAATCGCTAAATCCTAAACCCTAACCCTAAACCTTGCCACCCCACCCCTGAGCCCCCGTGCGGCACGAAGGAAGGCCATGGACTTCTCTGTGTGGAGGTCAACCTCAAGGTCGGTTTTGGGCTGGGGCTCAGGGCTCGTAGGGTTTTCGGCTTAATATAGGGGGCCTTAATAATTAGAATAGGGTTTTGGGGACCATTATACTATAGTTACACGGGGCCTCCAAAATAGTGTTGGTAATCATTCAGGCCCCTATATTAATTCGGCGTTGTTGATTTTTGCCTAAGGGTCTAAATAGATTTTGCTTTTCGGAGTCTGAGTAGTTATGGTGATTAGGCTGATGACAGTCGCAACCCCACGGCTTTTTGGCTTGGGGCTTGTCGCTTTGGGTTTTGTATGCTCTGAATCGCGACTGGGGCTTCTAAAAAACACAGGGTAGAATAGAACTCCACAGAGTCTGGGTGGGAAAGCGACGGCTAAGTGGCTCGACATGGTCCCCAAAGCTGCCCAAGAATCAGTCAACATGTCCCCTAAACCCTGAACCCTAAGCCCCAAACCCTTTTCACCAAACCCTAAACCCCAAACCCTAAACCCTGAACCCTAAACCCTTTCTACACGGGCTTGATTGGAGCTCGCCCGGCCAATGTCCCTCGTAGCACTCGCCTAAACCCTAAACCCTAAACCCTGAACCCTAAGCCCTAGTTTACAACGGATGCCAGATTCAGCACACTCACAGCCCCCATAACTGCTGTCGTGGTGGCGTCGATGTCGAACCTCGACCCGGGCAACTCTAGCGGTGTTGGGGTTTAGGGTTTAGGGTTTGGTGTCAATGGCTCAGGCCTCAGATGGTATGTTGCGCAGTATCCTCAAACTCCCTTGGCAAGATCCCCCACTTCATCATGTAACTGCGATTTCTGATAGAACCTGAGGATACAACTTGAGAAATGGCTTTGAGCTATTTCGTAAGTGCTCTGATACTCTCTAGATGCATTGGAACTTGAACCCTCTGGACATGAAACAGAAATCCCGCAAAGGCAGTGGCTCTTGGCTACTAAGGAAGTACAGCACCAAAGACAAGAAAACACCCTCAACCCCAAACGCACTCCAAACCCTACATGCCTAAAACTACTAAACCTCCAACCCCTAACCCCCCTAAACCCCCAAAAACCCCAAACCCTAAACCTCAAAATCATATAGACGAACCCTGACCAAAATCTCTACAGGAGCTTTCAAAAGAATCCCTTCTTAATGCCTTGTACTAAACAAATGAAACCCCATATAGACCCTAATCCCTATACTCTTCACCCAGCACCAAAGCTCAAGCCCACAGACAAAACCGAAATCCAGGACCAAAACCCGAGACCAAAACCCCAAACCCCAAAGACACAACCCGAAACCAAAGCCCAAAATCCAGAAAAAAACATGGGCGAGCCACTTGAGGTTGAAGCTCCACGCCCCTCGGACCGTTCCATCTGCGTCCTCGGCGGCTGCCGGGAGTTTCGAGGGAGACCATAGACTTCAGCGTGTACTATCCACACAACTGCTCTAAGCCTCTAGGTTCCAACAGCGTTACGTGCATGTTCTGCTTCCTGGCTCGTGAGCTCCCCGTTTCCGCGACTTTAGGGGTCCGACCTACCATGCCAATATGATTCCCTAGGCCTCCGTATTTATTATAACTACAGCAGTGTCTAAACCAAAGCCCTAGATTATAGAAACATTCCAAGACTCCCTGCAATGGGGCTTCGGCCGGAATCCTGCGAACCCCTATCCCAAGCCCACAGCCCGATAGCGCATCTAGTTTTGGGTTCTGGAGGTTTAGGACTTTAGGGTTTGGGTTTTAAAGAGTTTTGGGGTTCAGGGTTTAGGGAGGTTAGGGTGGCACTTTGGAGGTCTGTTCTGTCTAGCATGCAACTATCCGAGAGACTAGAGGTTGGGGCTTCTTGAAACTGTCATATACCATACAGTAAGCCCTCGAGCCAAGCCCAAAACGCATCAAAGCCCAGGACTAAAACGTTGCTGTCTGGCATCTGCCACCGCTGCTCCCAACTGGATCAAACGAAGGCGATCGACATTCTCACCTGGGGTTAGCTTTGGGACGGTCTGGGGTTGCAAATTTATCGACACGGAGGGGAGCTATGGCATAGGGCTTCGAGGCATGGACTGATTTCCAGGGCACTAATACAGCTTTCAACGGATTCCCTGCGAGGTGTCAGTCCTGTGTCATGAAACTGGCCCTTGCTACGTATTGAGTTTCAAACGAGATCATCCAACAGAAGCTATACATCCTAAACTCCTCTTCCTTGCACCATCTTCTTGGCAATTGCTTGGAACTGCCAATTGCCAATACCCCATGTCGTCGGAGCCTCCGAAACATCAAGCGGCAAGAGCCACCGGGGGTCAGGAGCTTTCCTGTAGAAGCCCAAATAACAGAATTACCAAGACTACTTCCTGGGCTCCCTATTATAATTATGCTATAAAGGAGCCCAACTGCCTCTTTCCAACAGTCTGTAGGGTTAGCCATGGGTAGATCAAACGTGCAAGCGCGCTGCTGCCTCTAACAGGACCTAAAAAAGTATGTAGACATATTCCTGTGGTTGTTGCTATGCTGTTACTCACATCCCCAGTTATGACCACCCATGACCCCCAACCCATCTAAAGCAACTTTGAAGCTTCCGCTAAGTAAGCCTATTTGTGACTAGGCCTGATGCTTCAACAGTAAATACGCCCTAAACTCCAAACCGCTTCGAATGCCCTTTCACTGTGAGCCCTGGGCGACCGATGAAGGAGACTGCAGGTTAATCGCTGCATGGGCCTGCATGGGAACTTCATTTCATACTATGCTGTCTTTTGGCGATATGCATCGCACAAGAGCTGCGGAAAGGAAGCAGGCACCCGAAAAGCTTCCAGAGCAAGAAACCCTAATGTAACATTAAGCCAGTGACTGGCAACTCTCAACTGCAACGCACGTATCTATCACCTTCAGCTCTGCAGAACATAGGAAAAGCAGAAGATTAACAACAGCAAACATCTTGGCGTAATGTAGGGGCCTTGATAATTAGAATAGGGGCCCGTTGTACAGTAATTATATAACAAGGAACCCCCAAACTAGTATAGGTACAGTGATTATTAAGGCGCCCCTATATTACAGCGCCCTTCCTGCCAAAATCCAACATGCCACGATGCTGAGGTCTATGCTTAAACCTTCCAGCCCTACCTTACGTTCTGAACACCGAGAGAAAGGCGTCTGTTAAGTGCTTTCCTGTCCTGTCGAGGTGCGTAGAGCCTGGTACCGCGCTGAGCGGGCTCCACTGCGTGGCTCCTGTGAGCATGGCTTATTAATGCTGTGGGACATTATATGGTTTGCCAAGCCAAGTACACGTTGTGAAGGGTTTGCAGGTAAACAAAAATAGCGGCATAACAACTTGCAGTGGGGTGAGAACCATACCTACCTACATGTACACCTCACTTATGCCTGCTCAGAACTGCACATGGGCCCTCGACTGGATTCCCAGAGAACCCAATACCCCTTAATTAAGGAATATACCTTAAAATATATTATTGAGGCCCCTATAATTTAAGGTATATTCCTTAATTAAGGGGTATTGGGTTCTCTGGGTTATTATCCAATCCCTAGACCCCAAGCCCCGTTACGTATGCGGCCGGGCCTGTCGAAGAAAGCCTGGGAACTCCATGTCGATCGCCTCGCATGGAAAGAGCTGTTGCGGGTTAGTGCCTGAAGGCTTTGGGTAGTTCTCTAAACTAGGGTTCCTTTTAGGGTCCTTTTTATAAGGGTGCCGTACTATATTGGGAACCCAAAAAGGGACCCTAGTTTAGAGAACTACCCCTTTAGGGTTCAGGCTTTAGAGGTCTACGCCCAAGCCTTAAGCGTTCTGAAGTCATAAAGGCTACCACGGTGAATGAACGCCCTATATGGCGATGGACCTATGCTGCGTTCGACATGAAACCATCAGTGCTTACACGGCCTGAACCCAAAATGACAAGGCCTCACCTCTCCAGCAGTGTCCCGGTCGTGCTATGACTTGAAGGTGGCAAGAGCCACGAAAGCCAGCTTTAACCACTGGAAATCTGCTTCAGTTTGATGACAAGACCGTTCCCAACATCCACTGCCACCAAAGATACGAGAAGTGCACCACCGCTGGCATCGCCAGCGGCAGCAGCCAGGAGATTATTAAACCTGGCTCGCAGAACACGGATTCTGTTGCTTTGGTGGAATACTAGCACTAGTCTGGTCCCAAAAAACCCCAGCACACTAAACAGCGGGGAGTGGCGTGGCGCTATAATCTAGGCATATTCTGATCATGTTGACCTTATTATATGATTGGAACAAAGCAGAATCGGCTACGCCGCAAATAAACACCTGCTCGTCGTCGTCGTCGTCGTCGT